ATAATAGGCCATTTTTCACACGAAAACTGCTATTTTCTTAATGTTCCAAAGGAACTAAAAATATTATTTGATAAATAAGTAATGCATTTTCATTGACTGTTAGTATATATTGTCCAAAAATACAAATTCATTAGACACAGTCAACTGATAAACTTATCCCAGTCTCTTTTAACTGTAAATTCTGCAGTGAATAACAATATCATGTAGAACCTGGGTATTCAATAACACTGATATCCACAACACATGCATACAAACTGGTATTGAAGGGTACTGAATAAATGAAATTATCCCAGTTTTTCACTGCTAATAAGTCACTGATACACTGACTGTTACGTTTTAGATATTTACTCACATCAACCCATCAAGGTAATGCAATGTTTTAAAAGAGGACTTTGATTATTTCTTCAACAGCACAGTCTTAGTGGGAATGATAGTTGTGTCTTTAGTTTCACTAGAGTTAATCGCAAGGAAAGTAGTTAACAGTGAACTCATCACATACAGCAGTTAGAGAGAGGGTACACTTTTAATGGCAGCAACCTCAAGCCTCAGCTGTTTGAGACTATATTTTTATATAAAATATGAACACAGTACAGATGAATTTCCAAGGGAACATGATTACATGTACAAAATGTATTGTTCTAATTTATATAAATATTGTTTATTTGATTCATTGAAAGTGACATTTAAAAAGTCTCAAGACGTTCCAGTTTTTGTTATTGTGTACCTGATCTTTTAAGTAAACGTATAATTTTATCACATATTTATTGGTTTCAATTTTATCATAGTTCTTGAAAATGTATTTCAGATGTTTTGACTTTTATGGCTTAGAATTATCATTTACGTATTATAAATGTAGCAACATAAAGATTTGAAAAATAATAGTTAAAACTGCATGAAATGGATATTACCAATAAAAACACATTGATTAATAAGAAAGAAATATTGTTTTTATTTTAATTATTTATTTATTAATTTAATTTTTTATTTATTTTTTTTTTTGGGGGGGGGGCACCTTAGTTGGATTTAAAGAAATTCTAACCAATTATTGTCTTTCAACACTGTTTTGAAAATGAAATAAAGAAAGTACCAGCACAGTATTAGTTTCCAAGTCCAGGTAACTTAGTGTACCCAAGAGTGCTGTAATTATACTGTTAATCCAACAGGTTTGGTGAAAGTTTACCATCGAAAAATTCAAATATAATAACTGAAGTCACTTGATACAAGTATAACAGGACCTTTCCCGTAACTTTTTATGTACAGACACAGATGTATCAGAACATAAAACTGTCATCTACATCTGCCATTGCCTTCACTGTGCGCTTTCAGTGATAACACATTAAGTGGGACGCCATTTTACTTTTTATCTTCAAACTTGGGGAACAGATGTATATTCATAAAATACAGGTTGAGTTCAAAAATCGGCATGATCAAGCGATTTTGTCAAAAGTAAAGCTGTTTTTCGCTTTTTACAGCATATTTTATCTACCGTAATACAGATATCATGAAAACTGTCATATTTTGCTTTAAAACTTGACTGGTTAAAAGGACAAATATACAGATCAAGTTCAAAAATAAGCTTGATTGGTTAAGTTTTGATGACGTTATGCCTTTTTTTATATATGTGGTTTTTCCTTAGATTCAGTTCTTAGGCATGTTAACAGTCTCATTATAGATACGTAAAATTGTTCTTGACATTTTCTGCATCTTGCTAATATTGTTGGTTGATTGTATAAAAATGATGGTAAACCTGTTATCGTGTATTGTTTAATAAAGTGTTAAAAATGGAAATAAACTCTTATCATTGCAGTTTGTCAGATTCAATCATTCACTAATTTCAGAATCTCAGAATGGAACAAATTGGACATTTAAAATTGTTCTATTGATATTTTTCCCCATCTCAAGAATTTTCTCAGTTGATCATGTAAAAATGAAAGTAAAGGGGTTATTTTGTTTTATGTAAAAAAGTTTAAAATGGGGGGGACAGACTCATTTTAGTACAGTTATGTCTTGTTTACATATTGGTGTTTTCAAGGTGCGACTTTAAAATTCCATGGGCCTGAAGAATTGCTAATCACGTTTTCTAAATGTCCATGTTACCCGCAGTGCTTTATTAAAGATTGGTAATGATTATGCTGTTAAGCATTATGCACCCTGAGCTTCAGAGCTAACTTGACACTAACCTTTTCACTACAGCCTATCTCCATCGTGTCAAGTAACCTCTGACCAGGTTCGATTGCCTCCGCCGCCCGCCNAAGTTAGCTCTGAAGCTCAGGGTGGCATTATGTAATATTGCATCAAAGTTGAAGAAAACCCTACCTTGGGCACTTCTAAAGGGAAACTATGCCACTTATTCTCCTCAAATTTACAGGAAAGAAACGGGACTAAAATAAAGTTTCAGTTGGAAAACCAGCCAGTTTGGTCAATTTTTTTTTAAGTTATACATGATGACCATAAAGGGAAAACCATGTTACTTATGATTTTCAAACTTGCAAAGCAGAAACACAGGACTGAAATGCAGCCTGAGTTGGAAAAGCAGTCTAATTGCCTTTTTTTATCTGAAAGTCAGTCATTTTTGTGAAATTTTCATTTTTCACATATTGGCATTTTCATTGTGGAACTTAGAACTCCCACGGGCATGAAGCCGAAAGGTAATCAAATTTTCTAAATGTCCAAGTTATTTATAGAAGATAATTAAAAATTGGTGGTAATTAAACTGTTAATCATCATGCAATGCTGCATCAAAATAGACAAAAAACCTATTTGGTGCACTGCCTCCACAAACATTATGAAATAAAAACTGTGCTACTTATCATTTTTTAACTTACAAGAATGATTTTTAGGATTGACATACAGCTCAAATTATAAAAACAGCCCCATTGGGTCATACTTTTTAAATTAATTTTATGCAATTATTTGTGAAATTTCAATTTTTCTCATTCTGCCATTTACAAAGTGTGAACTTGATCTCTCATGGGCCTGAAGCCTTATGCTTGTTACACATTTTACTAACATTGGGATTACTTGTTGTGCATAACTAAAATTTGATGTTGACTTTGCAGTTTAGCATAATATATTATTACTTCAAAATTGCCAGTGGCCTATTTTGTGCATTATTATTTTCTGCTTTTTGGCTGCTTTTTGGTTTTGAAATGTACCTCAATCCAAATTTCAGAGTCCATACAAGAGCAAATCGCAAAGTTACAGTGCTACACCGGCGCCAACAACTCTATCATTTCGGAGGGAGATGCTGAAGAAAGTGACGAAGATGGTTCTTATATTGCTACTGTTACTGAGACTAAGGGCAGGACTATGAATTACAGAGGGAAAAGCTTGTTCGCTTGTATGAGAAAAGTAGAAAGCTCTCTCATTAATAAACGGATCATATGTTAACTTGAGAATACGAACATTGTAGTGGATAAACCAAACGGATTCCGATGAATCCGATCACATAGATGTGTTTATTTTTATTAAAATAGTCTCTTTAAAAAATGCAACAGACTTCTAAGCTTTTAAAGACCTAGAAACCCTTTGATTTCACCTAGGAGTTATAACTCCTTGATTTCACTGACAAAGATTTAAAGTGGCACCTATATTCTCCTAATCCATCAACGCCTTGGCGCTGGAAATGAGCACCTTAAACCTAGGAGTTAAACTGGTTGACCAAAATCTGTCTCTGCTATTGATTGCAGATTATATTACCCTAATGTCACACTCAGAGGGACAGTTACAAGGCATGTTAGACTTTCATCAGTGGTGCAAACGGCAGGGTGTTCTTATCAACTCCGACAAGTCAAAGTAGGCTAGACGCACTTCAGGAAGACATGATCTTAAGAATATGATTTTATATCACAATGGGAGATAATAAACTAGAAATGGTGAACCAGTATAAATAATTGAGCGTTTCGTTTCACTATACCGGCCACTTAGCGTTACACGCAGAACCATTAACAAAAATAAGTGGAGTTGCACTTGGAAAAAGTATATCTAAGACTCACTCTTATAAAACACTAGTACTTGGATTATCAGCGTTATATTCGTTCTAGACTATGTTTCGGGAGTCTGACGATTCTCATAGTGAAAGCGCTCAAAATAAAGCAATTTCTTACTGACTAGTCCACGGGACCCGGACTGGCTACCAAGTCAGCACTGTAGATGTTTAAACACGGTACAAAACTGGAGCAGAGTGTTGTCCGTTGAACAACCACGTATCACGAAACGCGTGCTTGAGATAGACTAACAGCGTTGCGTAAAAAATTGGTGCGAGCTTTCGAAAAAAAGAAAATGTGATGATTATTATTTATTTCATTGATAGTTAATCTGTTATTACTATTGTCATTGTTATTTTCTATTTTATTATAAATTTTGGCCCTGCGAAAACATGCTATCTTATTAACAAATTGTTCCATAATAGGGCCGGGGGTATACCCGTATCACCATAATAAAACAGTATTCTATTCTAGTTGTGCTTTTTCTTTGAATACAGTTATTTGAACAGCGAATAGAATAAACCAGTAAGCAGAGAAACGTTACATTTACATGTACAAACTTTTCAGCTCCACAAATCTATAGTAAACAATATATAGTAATTGAGCCATATACGTCTGAATATTTAAACTGCGTTGTGCTGGTAATGATAATGATAATAACCTCATTCATTTGGAATTGAGATATGACCTAATGGGATTTGCTGCGAGATGTAACTTTTTAGATTGGATAAAAGTCGCATTTTGTCTTCTCTAACACATTCGATTGATTTTTATTGGGTTCATTCATTCTACCAGCGATATCTGAATGCTGCCACTGGTCACTTGATATAATTTTTGATGGCTGATAAAACGTGATTGTTTTGCCGTTGTGATTTTAGTTAAGCCGAATTGCCTTCTCGGGATCGGAATCCATAGTAGCGCCTTATCACATAATAAAGACCAATGCCTAAATCGAGGCCTCTGTACGGAGGGTGGTCAACTATACATTATTATGTAAACCAGGTGAGCACGTCACTTTGCTGAGAGGTATTCAGATGGAACCAAGGTCAGTTGGAAAAGAAGGAAGTCTCACTGCTACAATTTCCACATGTAGGCCGAAATTCTGGCACTGAAACTGCAGTAATCTGTTGTAAGTACCGTAGAGATAATATAAGATTACACTTCTGATTATGTGTGGATGACATTTTCCCAAAAACGGTACGTTTTCTATTGAAGTCGTATTGACCATGGGGACATGTAAATGACGTGTACGTCATTTTCTCCTAGAAGTCCAAAATGAGCTTGAAGTAAAATAGCTTATTTTCTGTTATTATTTTCTAGAGGGAACTCACTTGTCAATAAAGAAGCAAGAAGATTATTCCAGTTGTCCAGAGACATGTTATTCCATCTTGAACAAAGCAAGACGACAAGGCAGGTGACTGTATACGTAGCCCTTCATTGGGTGCCCTTTTATTCCTAACCATAGCATTTTTTTCAAAGAATCAAGTGTCTCCTATTTTTTAGAATAAACTAAAAAAGTAATAATATTACTGTAAATTAAGTTCGTGGTTGCATATAGAATGTGTTGTGTTTCTATATTTTTTATATTATATGATTTTAATATTTCGTCATGAATTCCGAAATGGATTGCTATAATAGTTATATTCTTCTTTATAGAACATTTAGATACTGTCTCGTGAATGTAAATTTTGTTTAATTTATTTCATTTTTATTTAATTCCAGTGACTTTGAACTACCGTTTATGAAAATGGATTCGCCCCCCAACAGAGATATCCACTTCGTATTCGACAGCGCCCGCACCCATGTCAAGATTGTCTCGCTTGCCGAAGTTTGTTTCATAGTTAATATGCAGGGTTGACATTTGATTTGGTTTGAAATACAATGTTTGTATTGTGTTGTTGTATTCTGCACCAGAACGTGCATCAAATGAAGTGCAGTGTGTAAAGAGAGTTTTAATCATGAAACTTCTGATATAAATGGACTAAATCCAAGCGTCAGCCCTGCACGTCACTAGTTTATTACTTGAGATATGATAATAATTTGAAACACAGCTCTCTATTCACACACGATGTATTTATTGTAATTAGTTTTGTATATACCCACCAGTTCTCGAACCTGAAACGACAGTTTTTAGGTTGCTCTTCAAACAGAAATAACGTCACTGAAATCCCTTTCGTGCTTAAGTGATGTATAAAAACGAAAAATGATAAAAAATATTGTAGAATTATCACTTTAGGTGATGTCCAGGTAGAACACTATGATAGCATGATTGGTTTTCTGTTTGACTGTAAAATATATGTGGACAGATATGTAATAAGACAATTTGTTGTGCACTGGTAAATGCATGTTTATTCATATCAGATTGGATACAAATATTTATTTTAATGAAGTTTACTTTTGAAAAGGAAAAAATGTCGCACATCCATTACGTAAAATGCATATAGGATTCTTTTATTGTGGGTACAGTTGAAGAAGTGAACAAGAAGTAAATATGCAATAAACTTTTAATACAAATTATTACACGTAAAAAATAACAGCAGTATGAAATTGTAAAATGTGCTCAAGTAATTGCAGAAATGTCCACACGTATTGAAACGGATTTTTATCAAATTGTGAATATGCTGTTATGGCGCATGCTAAGAATGAATGGTTTACGGTGTTTTGATATAGTTTGTCTGATCAGTGACACACCCATAGTTTTATGTTTTATTGCTGGGAGGGGGTAGAAATGTTTGTGTTTTCAGAAAATCAAACCAGGGATTGGGCCAGTTTTTTTTTTTAATTAATGTTTTTGTTATTTCAGAAGGGAAATTGACCTTTGGCCTGCAAAACAAAGAGGAAATGTTTGATGTACACAAAAAAAAAAAAAAAAAAAAAAAAAAATGGATTGTAGAAAAATTTTTACTTTTGGCATCTTTTGTCAATTAAGATGTATATGTAAGATTTGCATTTATTGCATCCTTATGCAACTCAAAATTCTGAGAAATTCTTATCAAATTCGTATCAATAACTAGTTGTCGCGTGTTTCTTTTTATGTTGTTCTTGTACCCGGTACTTTTTAAATTCTATTTTTCGGTCGGGATCAAGGGGTGATTGCGAAGAAAATGGAAGATTAGATGCCAGTCCTGCACTTGGGTTATTGTTGTTGAATGTTTCTTGATCACTGAACACCGGAGACCGTTGAATTCAGAAGCATTTTCTGAGTAAATGTGCTTAGTTATTTTAAGTAAACTGTTTTACCATAACCTTTTCAATTTTCTTTACATATTATTATTAAAATTACTATGACTGGGATAAGGTTGTAAACTGACCATGTCTTCATGCTGTTCTTGATTCGCACGACGCATAAATTTAAGTGTTCACTCAAAACTCCTATTTTAAGATTAAAGAGGGGAAAATGATGCAAAATATGAGCTACTTATCCATTTATCTATGAGAAATGCATTCATCAAATTTACAGAATTGAATAACGTTTGACTGCTGTTTGGTGTTGTGTGCAATCATCAGCATGGCGACATAGAGTAAGGTGTGGTGTCATGAGTGTGTACCCCCGTGGAGGGGATAACGTTTACAGGCCTGTAGCCAGCAATTTCAAAGGGGGGAGAGGAGTCTTTTTCTGAAAAAGTGGACCTTTTACCATAAAATCCTCATGTACCTAGATTAAATTTTACCCAGAGTGGAACTTTTCCCAGCAAAAAGTTTTTTTGAACCCCCCAAACCCCCCTGGCTACGGGCCCGGCTTACATGAGATCCTATGCATTTTGAATTTTGGATGTTACTAATCTTGAATTTGGATAAAAATGTCCCTCGGTGAAATTTTCGATCAGTCATAAGACAAATACACCAATTTCAACTTTGAATGGTAGTTGTAAAATATATCACGTCCAATCTTCAACCAAAATGATTTATCTTGAGCGACAATTTTCAAAATGCATAGAACATCCAACACATTTAGTCATGGATAGTTGTATTTAAGCTTGATTTACACCTCGAAATGCGAAGTCGTTCTGAAAATTGCTTTTTATCTAGAGCCAAAACGTAATGTTCGGTTTTTGCATACATCTGTATGGTGCAATTGCTTGTATTTGTTATAATAAACGTTGTTATAGTAGTTTCAAAATGTGCAAAATGTCTGTTGTTTACTCCTAACTTTCTTTTCTTCAGCTCGACTCGAACCTACAGCCATCAGTTTCCTGGCCTTCTTCTGTCTCTTGTTCTGTCACCTTACCTGTTGAGCCACTTTCTCAACTTGTTCGTCTGTGCAACTGCATGATCCCCTTGTAGTAGTTTAAATTGTTTATTTGGAATTATTTTTGCAAAAGGTAATTTGCTGGGACCTAGAAGCGCCAGGAATCGAACTGGCGACCTTCTGTTTCTGAGGCAAGCGCGTTACCCACTCCTCTAAGTGTTCCCACCCACCCTCCCCGGGTAGACTTTCTTCTTATAGTAACCAAAGGGAAATTTTAATAGCACCCCTTTGTAATTCCAAAGTGCCCGAGCCAGGAATCGAACCCCAACCCCAGGCTACCACTGAGCCATGTGGCCATCAGTAAAAACACTAAGACATTTTGTATATTCAATAAGTGTTTTATTAAGAGCAAAACAAATTGCTATTTATTCAATTATTTGTAAGACATAAGTCTGTAAAACATCATTGTCTTAAGTATTTTATTACTACAAGTTTAAAAGGGTTAGAGTATCTGAAAGAATATAATTGATGTCTCCATTTAAACTCACTTAAAGGTGTAACAAACATAACATTTTTATCTATGCGATTTGACAAATAAACTATCTACCGCACTAATTGTCTTATGTTTGATTTTTATCACACAAACAATATATTTCAACTGAAAAAAACAATGGTGGATCTAGTCTCCGCCCTCCCCCGAGGAGTGAGACCCATTCTGGACTCACATGATCAAGTCCTCCAAATACTCCATCTCGCCCCACAGGTCAACCTCTGACCCCATTAAAATATTCTTGATCCACCAGTGTTTTTCTCTACATAACAAAAAAAAAAATTATGAGATTTTTATAAAATGCTCTGTTTAAAATTGAACGCTTTTTTAAGGCGGACACGTAGCGTCGAGAAAAAAAAGAACACACTTTCGTTATGTTTGGCAAAAAACGTGTCAAAAGTCCTGCATAAAAACATATACAGCGTTTATGCAGCTATTGACAAAATGGAAAAAATAATTAACAATAGATTATAAACGGAATATGAAATTTAAAAAAAAAAATCCCTTACAAAAGCTATATAGAAAACAAATTACATGTTCACCTATGAAATCTGGATTAAAATCCAAGGGAGAGATCTCGATGTTTCTAACATTTCCTACATCCATTTCCATTGTAAGAACTACATTCAGAGATAATTACTAAAACAAGAAAGAAGTTTCTTTTCCATCCTATTACATGTATCAAATCAGCTTTTCAAGAAGGGAATTTTCGCAAATGGAAATTGAAATTCGTTAATTCTACATACTTCACTAGTAAAACAAAATAATCGAACTTGATTCGCAAAATTACATCTCTTACTCAACAAGACAGCAAATATTCAAATTTTAAGAGACGATATGACTTTTTTTCTCATCTGAATATCAAGAGAAAGACATGCAATGAGCGTCAGTCGTTACAATCTAGATTTCAGTCCATTTGAAGGATGAGACTGAAGAATATAGTCACGCCGGTAAAAACAGAAATTAAGAATTCGACACCGTAGAACTTATCAACGTTTTTGATAATGTGTCCTTTGGTGATTTAGGTGAAATTGTTTATTTATATCACAGAAAAATATTTGGCTTTAAACTGACATAAAATTGGATTTTTTTGCGCTCTTAATTCGCAATCTAAACTAGAAAGTCGCGACTTGCTGTCTTGCTGAAGAATACAGCCAATACTTAGTACCATTTCACAAATGTCAAGGTGACAAACGTATGACTACGATAGTATAGAACATATTTCAATGCGTGGGGGCGGATTATCGAAATAAAGCAAATAGTTTTGTAACTTATGACCATGCATTCTGATATATGATCACGTTAAAAAATATACTACATTTAATTCGCAAGAGACCTCAAATTCGAGATGTTATATGATATAAAACACGCAAAAGACACCTTTAGACAGCCTTTTCAAATCTGTTCCAAACAGCATTTCGGGCTATCAGCTCTGAAGGGTTTATCTTATAATCAGTACAACTTCAATTTAGCTCACACATTTAAATGAAGTGAAATATTAAATCTTGATTTATGAAATCTTGCCAATATTCAAAATGGAAATATATTACTATACCCCCCTTAATAATTGAATTATGTTCTTTACTACGGAAATGGACGTTTGTTACTATATAATATCCTTTAATTCCACTGATAACTGCTCACTAAATATCAACATGTCAATAGCCTTATTCTCACAAGTAATTTTACAGCATTTTCCCCTCTTTGGCCATTTCTCAGGATTCTTACTCAAATTTCGACTGCCACTACTATTTCTACCGATGAAGCTCAAAATATTGAACATGAAGTGCAACTGCATTTTTCTGTTTCATGAGACGTGATGAGATGAAGTGAAGGAGAAAATAAATGGTACCGTACGTGGGGAAAATGTTGGGAAATGGTCAAAACCACTTTTAAGCAAATGGGCGCCAAAATACTTCTCAAAAATAGATCACAATTTACTTATCGCCAAATATCTAACATTGATTTCTTAAGACTTTACGTTGATTTGACTGAAATTACGATATTCGTATACTTAATATCTAGGTCGCCTTCGGTCCACTTCCTGATCACTCAGCACTGAGGCAGTGACGTCTCCTTCCTGGCTGTCCATCCCATTATATTCATGGTAGGGGGAGGTAGCAGGCTGAAGTGGCCGCCTTTCCCATTCAGCTCTTACCAATATTTTACGGATGAAACTTCGTTTGAAATATACAACATTAAAAATACAAAGGACGGATTTTTGGTCAGCATATTTCAAATTTTGCCAGAAGAAAATTGACCTCAGATCGTTATCCACCCCAAATTGAAACGACATTAGGTCACTGGCTGTCTTGATATGACGCAATATGGCACACTCATTTTAATATCTGAGCAGATTTTGTTATGTTTTGACCAACTAGACTCAGGCCCGTAGCCAGGGAGGATCGGGGAGGGGGGGGGGGGTTCTAATGACCTCCCCCTATTTGCCTGGAAAAGGCTCCTTCTGGATATAATTTTATTTAGGTGCATGATGGTTTCATGGTAAAAGGTCCACTTTTTCAGAGAAAGAACCCTACTTTTGACATTGCTGGTCACGGGCCTGTAGACCGTGCTGTTCAGCCAATCTGGAGGAAAATACAAAATGCTGCAGCTTGGCAGCTGGTTTTAGATGTACAATTTTATGGACATGGGGTGGACAGCAGATTACAATGATTAAATGTTTTTAATTGCACAATAAAATGAAATTTGAGACATTTGAATGTAATTCTCTCCTACAATGTATATCTTCACATTCTCTCATGAATACATGCGTCTTTGGCCGTGTGTGAGTGTGTGAGCGCGCGTGCTCGTTCTCTGTTGTAAGCAAATGTACCACGATTTACATCCGATTGGGGATTTGTCATTAATAAAGTAGTAGACATGTATAAGAATGACATAAAAGCTACAGGTTATCGACATACTATTAATGCTGTTCAATGCTGTTCACGATCAGCCACTGATCAGCTATGATCGATTACTGAAGATAAAAAAACACATAATCGATGAAAGGTGCGAAACATTATAAAGGCCTACATTTGGCAAAACAGCATTTTTTCTGATTTCTCTTATTTGAAATATTATCTTGATATAATGCTTATTTCAGTATATTAAGGCTACCGCCCAGGCTACCAAGTTCTAATTATG